CCAGTGGTGTCTCACTCTTGACCACAAAACATTTATCTATAAGAACTGCGAGGGCTGCCAGTTCTCATGTTTTGCACAAGCTATTTTACTGGTATTTTGAAAAGCAGCCACAAAGTTTCATTCCGGTCAACAACTCCAAAACGGGGGAAACGGCACTTTTTCTCGTTTTTCCCATAGAGTCCCTTGCACTTGGTGGCGCCAAGCAATGGCTGCCGGAGGCGCCACTCGAGTCCCCCAGCAAGAAAGGGGTGAATCCGCGATCTAGCTTTCTACAATGCAGATCAGTGACGCAACCGCAAATGTTTGTCTTTCTTAGACTTAGGTTAGGTGGCGCAAGCTACCGCCCGCTACAAAAGGTATAGCCAGTAACATCCATCCATCCCTTATCCGGAAGACGGGGGGGAAGTATAGGTCCCAGAACGCACCGCGGCAGCAATGGCATCGCGCTACTCTTGGTGCGATGGGTTTATTAATCAATCAATCAGGAGGTAGCGATTAATTCGTTTATCATTTTTAAGAGACGCCAAGAGCCACTATAAACTATAAAAATAAGATAATTACCTCAAATGATACTTAAGTTATTTTGTCTCGGTAGTGAAATCGTTTTCAGAGGCTGCACCACATAAGTGCTGGCACCACTACTTGTCATGTCAATCGACCGAACGACATAATTTGAATTCACTTTTGTCAGAGATAATCGCAAACGCAATTCATTTCTACTTTTTCGTTTTGTTTTCAAGCAACGTACAATATTGTTTGTACACGACTATTAAAAAAGGAAAAACAGCAAAACAAGTTAGAAAAAATAAATATAAATCTTCGCTAAACTTAACTTTGCTTGAGGCACACAACTCAGCCCTCAGAAGCGCTGACAAAAGCTGACCTCGAGGCTATTTCCTTTCTCGGAGATCCCAAAGCAGCTGGCTTTTGCTTGGCTCCTCTTTTAGGGAAAGTGGCTATTTTTGCTTTTTCGAGGCGGTTTTTTCTTTTTTTTTCTTCTTCTTTTTTTTTTTCTCTGTGTTCTTCTTTATCATGTTCTTGTTGCTTATCTCTTATTTATTTTTTTTTTTTCGGGAAGGGAAGAAGGATGGAAGGTTGGACAGGTTGAAGCTTAGGTCAAGAACAACGTCTCGGCCGAACAAAGCCGCCCGATCCTCACCCGCAGGAAAGCCGAGGTAAGTAGGCTTCAAGGTGGGGCGTGTATTTCGTGGGGACACAAACAGAAAGCCCCCTTTTTCAGCAGCAGCTTCCAAAACCGGCTTCGCAAATCCGCGCCTCTCCGATCCCGGTTGGAGAGGTTTCGCTGCGATGATCCGCCATTAGATTTCGGTCAAGCCGTTTTTGCTTCATCTCCACGGTCAAAGGGCAATTCCGCTCAATTCCCCGAAAATTTCGGGATTATGATTGATGTCACACTTAAAAGCACTAATGAAAGACACTACGTCATTTGCTTCCCGAAAAATGGAATATTATGTTATGAATTCTTACTTTACACATGACCTCAAAACGAAACCGAAACTTCGGCTCCGTCGGGCAACATTGAGCTCGGGCCGCCAAAAACATCGCTACCACGTGGTACGAGCGGTCACGTGATCCTCTACGTGGCGACGGGCCGGTTCGGGTCGGGCCACCGTTGGGACGGGCGTGCGCGTGCAAGGCGCAAGTGTCGTCTGCAACGCAGTCTTCACCAAGTTTTGGTGTCTAGGACATCCGACGACGTCTGCACAACTGCAACAGCATGAGAGTTATATGTCGTCATCAGACGGAAATTGAGGGACTACTTTTTTGGACGCGGTAAACACACCAGTCGGTGACGCGTTCAAACTTCCAGGCACCGTACCCTGGAGACGCGCTCTCAAGACTGATAAGTTCGCTGCGCAGGTGCGTTACGCCGATCACGTGGACATCGGTGAGCGCCGAGAGCAGACGCTGTCGACGTCACCGGTTACGCGTTGATCGAAGAAGTAAAATTAAACAAAACAAGCAATGTTGATGACGTTTAGCTCAATGTTGGCTACGCCAACACCGTAGCCTTGACTGCGCTGGAGTGAGCCGTTTTCGGCAACTTAGCGCGTTCGAAAGTTCGCCGGATCGTTTAAGAAACATTTAGACAGAACTAGGTCGTAATATTTGACGTGTGATCTTTGCAGATGATACTAAAAAATGACTGCATTTTGTTTTTGTAAAAAATGAAGCGGAGTTGTTATTTAGCCTCGCAGATACATTTCTGGCCTAACTTCCCACGGGAATGAATGTTCCTGTTGAACATCCTGTCAGGTGACAAGAGAGTGAGAGAAAGGACACTTTCTTATCAAATTATTGAAGCGGAATATCCTTTTTATTCAGTCAAAGGTTCCGAAAAGTTGCGTAGCAGACTCAACAGCGCGAAGGCATCGGTGTAAACTTAAATCCGGTTAGCCGAAAACGTGTAAAAAACAAACCAAAAACGCATGACATCAGTTTTGTGCTTTGGCTATCGGGAATGCAACAAACCTTTGTGCGGCTATGAATGAAAGGGTTGTACTAAGTTCAATAGTTTCGTGCGTTAGTCACTTAATGACTAAAATAAAAACATCGCTAAAAAACAAGAAAAAAAGGGGGCTGAAAAGTTTATTTGTGGCAAAAAAAAAAAAAAAAAAAAATACAGCTCCTTGCGGTCGAAGCACAAAAGCCAACAAACGTGGTCTCGCGACGTTATGTATGATCCATGGGGGCTAGAGTGCCTTCATGTGCGCTTCGCATAGAGTGATGCCAACTGCCTGTTTCCCTTTCCCACACCCTCTTCCACCGCCATTTTGTTTCTCTCATTGTTTCCCCGTGCGCCGGAAAGTGGGTTTTGTGTACATCGGTAATCCCATCCGAGGGGGAAAATGCTAATCCTCCCTCCGTGGGTTCCACAACGCTGCTCCGAACTTCTGAGATAAGGTGCTTGTTTTCGGGAAGGTTATAAGCCCCACGGATTATCGCTGAGGAACAAAATAGCTGCTGGTTTGTCGGCGAGTGGTATTACAAAGGGTGGCATCACCCTAAAGCGCACATGAAGGCTCCCTAATGGGGGCCATCTGGTCCTGATTAGGCCGCCTAAGCGACCATACCAGTCAGCCGCAGACCGTGCTCCACGCAACGACTCCATACAGTAAAGTCGACGAACCGCCGAAAACCGAACGCCGAACCAGCCAAACGTCTCATCACACGGCCGGTCAACTTCGCTGTTACAACGCACACGCTAGTCTCTTTCCCCACAGGCGCACGCCGAAAGCAAGAGGACGCCGACCGTTGCAACGCTCTCCACCCCGACTCTCGCGAACCGCCCGCCACGGCGCCTGATTTTGAAGTCATCTCAAAAAAGACAGCGCCGCCATGTTTCAAAATTCCCCCCCCCCCCCCCCCCCCAAAAAAAAAAAAAAAAAAAAAACCGTTGACTGGTTGCCCCATATGCCCTCCCACATCGCGTAGTTGGAAGAGCTGGCAAAATTACGCGTGAATGTGTTTACCTTTTCTACACTTGGGCCTAGCACAACCACGCAATATAAAAAAAAGAAAAAAAAAAAGAAAAAGAACGTGAGAGCAAAAAGGAAAGGTGCGCATTGGCGATGGATTTGAACGCGAGCTACGTTACGGGTACTTCGAGAACCTTCGCCCGTTGACGAACGACGCAGTCACTAGGTAGTACGGAGAGACCTCCGCTGCGCTCTGTTTTTCTTTGCAAGCTTTTCCGCTTAGCCAACGAGGATCCTACTTTTCGCGTCGCATGTTAGAGCAGACATATCGTGTTGATCAGAACAGGCCGGCGACCTTTTCCGGTCGCCTTGGACGCTTGGAAGCGTATGGATTGCTTTCGACCGTTTTCAAATCGGCTCCAATTAAAAAAGAAATCTAACTGCCGCCTGCGCGTGCTCGAACCTGTTTCGAAAGAGAGAGCAAAATGACTTTATTGGTGTTCGCTTCATCTGCGTAGCAGAAGCCTCAAGAACGGCGTGCTTCGTTCACGCTGGTCGACCAGAACGGACGGCCCGACAGTTCGTTGTCTGCAACTTCTCGCTAGAGCTCGCTGATTTAGCGGGAACCTGAAGATCCCGGTAAAAGCAGACGACGGGTCAATCCGTTGTCTGCTTTTTTTTTTTTTTTTTTTTTTTTTTTTTTTTTCACGTGCAACTTTGCGGTTTTTGCCGTATTCTGACTGTCCGTGGGAGGAGATTTAATGGGAGCGCATTTCCTGCGGCTCCGCAAAAGACGGGCGACGGCGACGATCGTTGGACGAACGGACGCCGCCGCCGCAGTCGACTGCGCAGAAAAACCTCGACGCCGCCGCCGTCGCCGCACGGCTGCCTGCTCGCCTGCGAGCCCGAAGAGTCACCGCCCCGACCGTTTCCAGCGAACTCGTTTGGCGGTCGAACCAGCCGAGCCCCCCTCCGCACGAGTTTCCGAAGGCCTTCCCTTCTCATCGTCATCTCGCCTGCGCACGCGGCGTTCATTCCCCAACGGTCACGGGCTGCAAACCCCAGAGCGGTCGGTTTTTTCTCTGCGTCTATTTTTATTCTTTTCATTTTATTATATTTCCGATTCCTCGCGGGGCTTGCATCGATTGGGGAACGTAATTAAGCTCCAGCTTAAACTCGAAATTGATCGTCTACTACGTCCCGACTAGTAATGGGCTAAAAAGATACAGAAAAACGCCAGGGAGCTCGAAAAACTAGCAGTAGCAGACGACGGAAAAGGAAGGAAGTTGAGGGGGGCTACGGCCATTTTGTTGTTGCTTTGCGTCGTCTAGATTTTTCGCGCGCTAGCAGGAGGGGGAAGAGACCAAGAAGAGACAAAATAAAAAGAAGAAATAGTTGGATTTCTTTCCACGGGATGGCGCTCGCTGACGGAGCGCCGTGTACAGCCGGGCGGCGCGGGAGTGTTCAACCTTGGCTGGGGGCGATCACCCCGCGTCGGGATTGGTCAGACGGGCCCGCTACGTCACATCCGGACTTCGCTCGATAAAAATGACAGCGGCCTGGCGGCGGCGAGCTCAGTCATCGCTTGGCGTCGGTGTGGAACGCTTCTGCGCGCGAAACAGACTCTTGGATTATACGCGCGGCGCGGAGAGCACGTTTTTTTCTGACGACGCGCGAAACGACAGCGTCTCTACCCGGAGGAATACGGCTCGTGGATTATCGGCGGCGTTTCGGTGCCAGTGCTTGTGAATGACGTGTGCGGTGGTCTCGTTTCCGTAGCGATGGTGCCTCATACGTCAAGTCTGCACCCGGATACGATGGAGCAGAAGCCGCGGGGCCAGCAGTTTGGCTCGCTGAAGGTGGACGTGAACTCGCCGACGCCCTACACGGACGCCACGCAGTGCAAGAAGGTCACCAACCACATCAAGCGTCCCATGAACGCGTTCATGGTCTGGTCGCAGATCGAACGCAGGAAGATATGCGAACAGCAACCGGACATGCACAACGCGGAGATCAGCAAGCGGCTGGGACTCCGCTGGAAGATGCTCTCGGACCTGGAGAGAAAACCCTACATCGAGGAGGCCGAGCGGCTGAGGCTACTGCACATGCAGGAGTACCCGGATTACAAGTACAGGCCGCGCAAGAAAGCCAAGACGTGCGTGAAGACGCCCGAAAGGCCCGCTCCCGTCGCGAAGGCGAGTCACCACCACGCTGCTGTCACTCCGCACACGAGCAGCAGCAGCAACAGCAGCAGCGGAAGCAGCAAGCACAGCAGTCACCACCACGGCACTCACCACAAGTCGCACCATCACCACCACCACCATCATCATCACCACCATCACCACAAGTCGTCCAAGAAGTCCGCTCCGATGACGGCCACGCTCAATCCGAGGCTCAAACTCAAGCTCACGATCGACGACAAGTTCAAGAAAAGCATCAGCCGGTCCAAGCACGTGCCGCTGTCGACCGGCCAGCTCACGCCGCCGGCCAAAGTTCCCTGCTCGCCGTCGGCCGACGAACCCGCGTCACCGGAGAGCGCCAACCTCAGTCTCTACGAGGACATGGTTGTCGACGTGAAACCCACGATGGTCGGACTTATTTCGGCGGCGTCGCCGTCGTCGAGCACGACGTCGTCGTGCTCGTCGGTGTCGTCCTCGACGACGAGTTCCTCCGTCCAGTCCGCCACGACTCAGCAGTCTCGGTTCGTCGCGGCCGATACGTCGACGCAGCTCGCCGATCTCGATCACCTCACCGAAGTGTTCGACCTCACGTCCAACTGGGCGGAATTGAACTCTCTGACGAGTCTGTCGACGCCGTTGGGCGACGTGGACGCGGTGGACTCAGCCAGCTCGAGCTCGGCGACGCATTTCGAGTTTCCGGACTACACCACGCCCGAGGTGTCCGACATCCTCGGTGTTGGATGGTTGGAGAACAGTCTCATCACCGCGGGCATCAACTGCTGAAAGCGCATGCACAAAAAAAAGGCAAGGCAGAGAAAGATGTGAGCAAATACGCGGAGAGAATGGCGAGGCGATGCCTCGGTTTTGTAGCAGACGACGCGTGCGTTAGGCTTACCGCTCCGTCGTCTGCGTCGACAGAGTGCACTTTCCCGCCAAGCTTTCTCTCTTGTTTTTGCTTTATGCGGTTTTATTTTTTTCTGACGCATGGTGGCTGCTGCTGTATTTTCTCTTCTCACGTGTTTCACTTTGTTGTGCTGTCAGTGTTCCCTAGCTATTTTTTTTCTTGCTTTTGTTTTCTAAATATTTTTTTTTCTTCCGCAACTTGTCACTGTTCCTATCTGCCAACTTGAGAACGTCAGCGCTGCGTTTTATGGTAACACAAACGACGGAAAAGAAACAAAAAAAAGAAAGAGAAACCATTAATGCAGTGTTTTCGATTGTCCTCGTTGCTGACTTGGCGCTTGCTGCCCTCCCATTTCCGGCAACTGTAGCGGCATTTGGCCGAAGTTCATATTCTGTTTTCTTTCTTACTTTCTGACGCGTTCGTCGTTGATAACGTTCTTTTATCCTTTCGCTCTGCGCACATTTTTTTTTTTTTTCTGTGGTTGCGTTGAGTCCTAGCTTTAAAGTCTTACGCGTAGGACACGATCTCACGGCGTTAGTTCCACTCCATGTATATTTGTGCCGTACGTTTTTTCCCCTCTTGTCTGCGCTGCCGAGGATATGGTGAAAGAAAAATGCTAGGCGCGCCGCGTAGGTTCAGGTTGTACTTTTTCTACGGCCCCTGATAGATTTCAAAATTGCTTTCCTGTTTAAACTATCAAATCCTCCGTCTTCCTACACATCAACAAGTTTGTCTTGGCGTGTTGAACGCATCAGACTGAAGATACTCCGTTTTTATTTTTTTATTATTTATTCTCAGTATCCCCCTTATCTATTGCGATTATTACTTCGATAACAATGCAACCCCGGTTCGCCGGTGGTGGTGTATGAAACTTAGAAAAGGGTACTACGCCGTACGTTTCCGTGCGTTTATAACACTAGGAGTTGCTTCGTTTTTTAATTTAAAGGGTTTCCTTTACGAAACATAGCTACTCTTATCCGTTAACTTTTTCTACAGCTGTTCTTTCAACACGACGACCCGTCCTTTTGGTAGCCTCAAGTTGTCGTTAGACAACCGCTAATCGCGTTTTTTTTTTTTCGTTTTTTTTTTTAAGTTAATATTTCTACGATTATTATATTGAGTACTTATTCATGGGCATTAGTCGTGTATGTTATCCGAACTTCGTCAATACTGATAGTACTCAAGTAGTGGTACTGTTTTTTGGTAATACTGTGCAGTCGAGATCGATGAAAGTGATGGTGCGGAGGTTTGTCACGTCGATTCATCAATGTACGATGTATCTAGAGGTTTCGTCACGTTAATCTTTTTTTTTCTATATAAGTTTATTTTTATTATTATTACAAAGTCTGATGCTGCGATGAAGTTCCGGCTCTTAACGCAAACATACAAAAAGTCAAGTCCTCGTGTATTTATGATTGTGATCGTTCCGTAACGTTGCTGTTTTTTTGTTTTGTTTTTTTTTCGTCAATATTTTGCGTTTTGTTGAGTTAGCCCAGTTTCCTAGTTTATCTTAGGTTCGTGTTGGTCGTCAGGCGGTGAAGAGTTTTTTTTTTTTTTTTATTTTTGTTTCCTCGTGTACGAACTCATTAAACGTGTGTTGTTTCGTTCTTTAGTCGTACCTGGAAAGAAAAAAGCTTAAAAAAAAAAACGAAAGAAAACAAAGTGTAATAAGTGTGCAAAACGATAATCGATTCTTTTTAATAATGTAAACTGCTTTTTTTTTTTTTTTTTTTCTTCTTAAACAGTACGATCGTGTGCGTGCTTTTGTACATAGAGCGAGTCGCTTCAGATTTTGACCGCGTAACCGAAGACTTGGATGTTTACGTGAATGTTTTTTCAGGGATTTGCCGTTTGTATGTTTTCAACTTCGAAACGTGCTCGTGGGTTATTGAATGTAGTTTTATTCCTTTTTCTTTCCCCCTTTTCCGAATGTCTGCCTGTGTCGATAAGGTGTTTTTCTGTGTGTACATTATCTCGGGTGAGTCAGTCAGTTTTATGTCTTTCTGTATTTTTGTTTGGTTCTTCAAGTTTTCTTGTTTTGTTTTTCTCGTGCGAGTGTGATTTTGTCCCGCCACTCTCAAAAGGGACTAACATTTTTGTGTGTGTTGTGTCGAACAGGGCTGGTTGACCTGTGAGTTTTTTTCTTTCTTTTTTCTACGACTGTAAATAGTATAAATATATATATATGCGCGAGCGAGCACACACACACACACACGGATAGATATATAAAGTATATTTGTACATTTTAAAATAAAAAAGGAAAACGCAAAAAAAAAAAACAGACATTTAAGATGCAAGTTTGTATGATAGCGCACAGAGCTTGCTCTTTCCTCTTTTTTTTTTTAGTACAGCATGAAATAAATGCATTGTGCCATCACCCTGCTGTTTTTGCGAATGTTCTTGCGAGATTCTCTTTCGGACGGAACGTCTTGGCGTCTGTTGCAACCTCGTCATGGCTTCCGCACAACGAACTGAACGCCACACTCGACGGGAACACCCTAGGCTGGGTTCCACACCTTCCTTGAGCGATTGACAACCCGGAATAGGAGCAAAGCTAGGTCAACACCCTTCGGAATAATCAAAGCCTACGAACAGTCTCATCATCTTCCACGTGACGTTGTCATCACGGATCCCTTTCAAAAGTGCACGTCAGCACTCGGCGGGAACTCGCCGAATCCGCCATCTTGGAAGTTGTGACGCCGACGACGCCGTCTAGCGGCTTAAAGCTTGAAATACCGGCTGGTTCTGGCAACGGTGTGGGTATGGGAGGAACTTGGCTATGGTGGGCTACAATAACTTGGGCGGTTGAATCGAGCTGGCTAATGACAGGCCTCCAAGAACGAGGACGACCACTGTGGGGTTCTTTGATTGAGTTTCCAAAGTAGTCCGTGCAGGTAAGCTCTCGGCATTTGATAGCTGCATCTTGAGTGGTGGCATGCAGGCGTTTTCATACCCTACACATGCTTTGCATCAATAGCCTACCTTACAATGATAACTTAAAGGGGAAATGCAATAATTTTTGTACTTTGCGCCAATACCGCTTAGAACAGATCCCTGACGTTAATGACCTATGAAACACGCTTTCGTTTTTCACTTCATGCAATAGAAGTCCCAGAAAAAAATTAAAGAAAAACGAGCAGCGTTCACCCCCTCAACTTGCAGCCAGAACAAGCGGCCACGCGATCTGGAGCCGATTATATGCCGCCAATGTTGATCATAGCCACGCGCTGGCAAAGCACAGGACACGCGCTGAGCTCCAGACATTGTTATGGCTCGGCTATTGTCGTCGTTGCAGCGATTGGACGCGGGCGACTACCCGAATGCTTCTCGAGCTAGTAATTATCACGAGCCCAAATCGAGTGCCCACGCAGGGCTCGGGTCCAATCTATGAACCGCATTCAAATATCGTCACTTGGGTGTTCTGCGATTCCCAAGTTACGTCATCAAATTTTGCAAAGGAGAGATTGAACGAAAATAATTGCTTTTGTCCTTGAAATTTTACAGCAACAAAGGAGTTTCTTGGCCAGTGGCGTTGCGTGCGAGTATCCTTGAGTCCCACTAGTGCCAGTAAGCTCGTGTACAGTGAAAAACATTCCAACTGAATATCGTCGCACAGCTCCTTTAATCGGAGCACCTGCACCGGGTTGGAATCGGACCAGTTTGCCGCAGACGAAGTAGCCGTGAGTAGTGCCACCAAATAAGCTACGCTTCAGAGTAACGACACTTGGCCATATTGTGGCTTAAAATCATGGTTGCCAGTTATCTGAAGCTTTATCTGAAATCACAGGAAATGCTTTTTCGTCCTCCAAAAATGTTTAAACAGATCGCGACAGAGAAAAGCAATATTATATGAGCTTCCTAACACCGAATCGAATGCTGAGGAAGTCGCGCTTTTGAATCATGACGATCTGCAGTTGCGTCTGCTCTGCACAAGCCCCAATATGGCGGCGCCCACAACAATGTCGGGGAACGGAGTGCCGGTACTCTAAGCGCAGCTCATATAGTGGCTCTAGCCGTGAGCATAAACGCGACGATGAGTCTGATACGAAGCTCTCGCGATTCACTCACACAGTGGACTGACCTCATAAATAAGGAACCACGTGGAACGTGTATTGCTCAATAACAATGCAACCAGTATCGCGCTGCAGCTTCTTGTGCTCACCGCTCATTTTTCGCGATTGTTCTTATTACTAAGATTATTTGCGCACACGACGACGACGCAGTGATAGCCAGACAACCATGGGTTTTGGGAACTGTAACAGGGTTTTGAAAAAGGAGCGCTCTGAACTAACTCACGCACGACGTCCGTTCCTAAGCCTTGTGGCCCATACCCTCGGCGGTTGCATACCCTGTGTCAGAGGTCTATGCAAGTGTTCACGAGCACCTCAAGAACTGTTGCAGAACGAAGTCCGGCTCTTCGCAGAGCATTCTCGTCATGTCTTGAATGAAGCTACATGCAGGTGCATCCTAGATTAATTAGCCTTATGTTATTTTCAACAAGACGTGCACGCTTTAAACGCCCATCGCATTTTTTTCTTTACAAACAAATTCTGTAAGATTTATTTCGTGCACAAAATAAGTCGCAAAAAACTTTTTTTTTTCTTCCTCGTGTGACACCGAGTATAGTAGCTTTTTTTATGTTAAATATAAAAATCAACCTTTGCTCTAGAGAGATATCGAGTAAATGTTGGAACGCCGCCACATACTACTCGGCGTCAATGTTTGTGTGCGACGTTTGTCAAGGCTACATGCGTGAACCACTTTCCGTGGCTTTTCCGAAGCGAGGAGGAGGAGTCCGCGTGCACAGCGTTCATGGGCGCTCCGGCACGCGCTCACGTACCTTTGGCTTCCCTGCCACAAATAGTTGTTCCCCAGATTAGCGTAGTTTCCACAAGCAGCGGTGCGAGCCAACACGAACGCGTGGCTTCGTCATGTGCCCGAACAGGAACCTTCAAAGCGCGTGGGGCCACACAACTCAGCCATATGGCGTGTTCCGGTCCGCTTTCATCAAGTTATTATTGTACTTTTTTTTTTTTTTTTTTAAAGAAGAAGAGTTTTTTTTTTTTTTTTTTTTACACTTTTTGTTGGCTATTTGTAGAGACTTCCGCTGTTGTTCGCCTCCGAGCTTACCGAAATGTAGTATCCTGTCTGGCGTAGCTTTCACAGCGGTGTACGCCTGGGACTGTAGCTCTCGAGTCTTGAGCAGAGAGTATAATAATATCGAATATTTCTAGGTCGCGTTTCTTTGCTCACCCCAGACACCATGAAGAAAAACAACACGAACACAGCAGCTGAAAAGTGGGGGATATTCGCTGGACGCCATTTTGGAGGCCGATGTGTAGAACTTATGTTCAGAACGAGCTCACATTAGTATGCTGCTAAGACCGACAATCTTTGATGACGCCGAATGCGCGTTGCAGAGTTGTGGAAGCTCGGCGTCTGCACGCGCTCAGCAGTCTCGCACACAGCTATGGCCGACAGTAAATACTCCGTATGCATTTCTTTTCTTCATGTTTTATTTCATTTTCTTTTTACGCGCTCCGTTAGCACGCATGGACAGGTACTGCCAGACGCCAGAATTCGAATGGGGCTCGTGCATGATTGAACGGAACAACGTCACCTTTATGGTCGCGTCTTACAGACGCTGCAACCGGCATTGCAGGGTCGCGTCTGGCGGACTGGTTCGCGCCCCCCCCCCCCCCCCCCCCCCCCCCCCCAGCCGAAAGAAACAGTCCTATGTGTAAGCTACCGTTCCCTGCGATCTCAGGTGCTAGGCCACTTGGTGCCGTCGATTTCGTTGGAGTCGTCAATAGAGTGTAAAGACTCTTTTATACTCCGACGTTCTGTGCAGCGAACGCACTGCAGGAACTCAATATCTGCGACCATTCAGTATATCTGTGCGCTGCGCTACGCCGCATTTGCAACGCTCGAGGTCGGTGTATAACGTAATCTTAAGGGTGCGACGCCGTGTTTCGGTGCTTGCATTGTTCTCAGATCCACAGGGAGAGCGGCGTTCTGCTATTTCTTAACGTACGAATGAAAACTTGGCATGTAGCTTAAAACGTATCCTTGTTTCGATTTCGACACGGAACGCAAGCAGTCTGCCGAGATTTCCAAAGGGCAACTCCGCTCAACTTGCGCAAAAATTAACTTTTTTTTTTTTTTTTTTTTTACTTTTATTGCTTACGATGAAGATCGCAGTTCGTAGGCGTTGAGGTGCTTTCGGATCCACCGCGGCGTGTTCCCTGCAAACCACACAAGTGCTCGATAAGCCGCTCCCTTGGTGTTCGCTGGCGTCTTTGCTAGGGGGCCCCCTTTACAAGCTGACCTTGAAAACGGTTCTTACCCGCCGATCGAGATATTTGTTTTGGATCGACGGGATCACTCTCGTAACGGTAGCTGTTGTTTCTCCGGGGAGTCAGTCACCTTGGCGTTGTCGCTATTTTGGTGCGCCTTATCGTCATTATACGACGCTGCCGCCGCTATCTGCTCACGACCGGCCTTCCGACGCGGCGTGCGGCTTTTTTTCAAAGCGGTCATGCGGTGTCAGCAACGTGGATATGAAAGTTTGCCTGCAGCTGCGGAATTCCACTGACCGGCCGCTGCCCCGTCGTCATCGACAGCCGTTGATTGATCGCCGAATGCTCGCACTGTTATACGTATACCGTCAACTGCTTTAGACCTTTGCATCGCTTATCACCCGGACGAAAAATGCTGAGTCACTGAGTTGTGGGCGCCTACGCAGCGTCCGATACATACCGCACAACAGAGCAACAGCGCAGGCTCAGAAGGTGATTTTTGCAAAGGTCTATAGATGACCAAGCCGTGCTGCTAAACTTACTGCGTCACTTAAAGTCAATGTCACGCTGCTAATTAAAAAAAGGTTTAAAACGCGCGAACAAAAGGTGGATTTACTTCAGATACGAAAACAGGCAGGTGCCAACTCTCATTTTATAGAGCTTTAACGTTGATTTGAAGACGGCGGCTTCTAATAAAACCAGTTGAGAGTTGGCACCTTCAGTCCTGTCGTCTTCTATGTCCTCGTTTTGTTAGCGCTTTTCAAAACATTTTATACGAACCAACTGACCCAAAACCCAAGTTTTAATGTCACACTGCTAGGATATCGTACAAGAGTTAAAAGACCGTCTACAGACCCCGTCCGAGACGTGTTTCTCACTTGTCTCACGGTCTTTTCACAATGGCCATTCAACGACTGTTTGCCCAGACATGTTCGAAAATATCAAAAATTCATGAAGCAAACATTTTCTGAAGACGCGT